CTTAGCAGTCCATAGTATATACTTAATACTCTTCCCCAACACCACAGCTCAAAGGCATCAATTCTCCTTCTATCATTCCTAGTCATTGTCCAGCTCTCAAACGCATAGCAAGTGGTTGCAAAGACCACGGCCTGTATCAGGCACACCTTAGTCTCCAGACTGACATCATTACTCTTCAGTACTCTGAAGAGGTCTCTAACCGCAGACTTTCCAAACTCAATATGTCTTTTAATTTCCTGGCTGCTGGTGCCAAGAGTGTTGATTGTGGAGCCTAGCAAACTAAAGCTGCCAACAATTCTCAATCTTTTCACCATCTATCATAATGCTGCCATTTGGCCCAGTGGTGAGAATCTTTGTGTTCTTGATATTGAGGCTCAATCCATGTTGAAGGCTACAGTCCTTGACTTTCTGTAGCAAGCGCTTCAGGTCCTCCTCAGTTTTCAGCAAGCAGGGTTGTGTTATCTGCATAATGCAGATTACTGATGAATTTTTCTCCAATCCTGATGCCACATTTCTCCTCATAGAGCCCAGCCTCCCAGATAATATGTTTTGCATATAGATTGAAAAGGAATAACACATAGGATAGTTACATTATACTTAACATCATAACCATGTTCAATAATAGGGATACCAAATAAAAAATCAGAGTCACTGCTGTACAATTAATTCTGACTCATACCATCCCTCCTCATAATTTCTAATTTCTAGCACTATAGATCTTTACTGGAGATTACGGTTCATCTTTTTTTGCCTCCTTCCCTCCTCCCCCCACCCCTGCCCCAAGGAGTGGTTCATAGATTAGAACAGCAGAGCTGTTCACCTGTCAGCCTGACATATGATACACTATGCCACCAGGATTTCTTAATAATAGGTGTCTGTTCACTTTGTTGTTGTGTACCATCAAGTTGAAACTATTAGCTGACCCGCCAGCATGTTTTCAGAGGCAGTAATCACATGGTAGGAGATTATCCATCCAGCTAGTGAATCCAACCCTGTGCCTTTGGGATTACAGTACAAAGTACTTACCACTAGGCAACTAGAGCTCCCTCTTGCAACTCCTTACCCTGTAGACCAAGAGACTCTAGACTCAGTATAAAGCCACTGTCATTCACTCTCTTCAAACTCATATTGACCCTCTGTTGCATTTCTGAGACTTAATCTTAGAGAGAAAACTACACATATTTCTGTTGAAATGTCTGATGAACTGTTGACCTTTTGGTTGTTATTTTTCGGTGCTGTTGAGTCTAGCACAACTGATAGGGACCCTATAAACAGTAGAGCTGAACCCTGTCCTATCCTGAGTCATCCTCACAATTTTGACATAGTCAAGCCCATTGCTGCAGTCACTGTTTTCAATCCTACTACTTGAAGATCTTCCTCTCCTTCACTATCCCTCCACTTTCCCAAGCATGATGTCCTTCTCCAAAGAATATTCTCTCTTAGCAACATGCCCAAAGTATGTGAGACAAAGCTTCACCGTTCTTGCCTCCAAGGGGCACTCAGCTGAACTTTCTCCAAGACATATTTGTTTGTTCTTTTGGTATGCCTTGGGATATTTACTACTCTTCTTCAACCCCACAGTTCGATGGCATCAGTTCTTCTGTCATACTTATTCTTTATCCAGCTGTCAAATGCATAAGAAGTAACTGAAAAGACCGTGGTTTAAATCAGCACCTCTTAATCATCAAACTAATTTCATTTCTCCTCAGTAATTTGGAGAAATCTCTTACTACAGATTTTCTATGTGTAGTGTGTCTCCTGGTCTCCTGGCTTCTAGTACCAAGTATATTGACTATAGATCCAAGTAAGATGAAGTTGTTGACAGTTTGAATCTTTTCTCCATCTTTCATGATGTTGCCTAAAGGCCTACTGGTGAGAATTTTTGTTTTACTGACATTGAGATGCAATCCCTATTAAAGTTTGCAGTGTTTGATCTTCTTCAGCAACTGCTTCAGGTCTTCATCACTTTGAACAAACAGGGTTGTGTCATCTGCATAACACAGGTTATTGAGGAGTTTTCTTCCAATCTTGATGCCACATTTTGCTTTGTAGAGTCAAACTTCTCTGTTTATTTACACATCATACAGATTGACTGGGTATGGATGAAGAATACAACCCCTGACATAACCCTTTCTTAATTTTAAACCATGTAGTGTTCCCTTGCTCAGTTCGCAGTAATTTCTTTCTTCAGGTATAAGTTTGGCATGAGCACATTTAAATGTTTTGGGATTCCGATTTTCTCAGTATTAGCCATAATTTGTTGTAATCCACATGATCAGATTCCTTTAATAGTCAATAAAACCCAAATAGGCATTCTTCTGGTACTCTTTGCTTTTAGCCAGAATCCATATGTAATGAGCAATGATAAGAGGCAGCAAACCCTCTTTTAAACACACATTGGAACAAAAATGGACCTCTTACACTCAGGCAGCTGTCCTCCAGATTTTGTGGAATAGACTGATGAGCATGTCTAGCACTAGACTGATGATCATGTCTAACATACATTTGTCTGTTGAAACATGTCTGTTGGTATCCCATCACTTGCTCAAGCTGCAAGTTGCAGGGCTTAAGGATGCTATGGGCAGAATATTGAATGATTCAGGAAGCATTAAAAGAAGATGTAAGGAGTATACAAAGTCATTATACCAAAAAGAATTGGCTGACACAGGAAGAATTTCGAGCAACAGCATAATTATCAAGAGGCAGTGATGATGAAGGAGGAAGTTCAGGGTGCTCTAAAGGACTGAGCAAAACTAAAGCCCCAAGAATTGATGAAAGATCAATTGGCATATTTTAACAAACAGATGATGCCCTGGATGTGCTTGCCATGTTGTGCCAAGAAATCTGGAGGATAACTACTTGGCCAACTGGTTGGAAGAGATCTGTACTTATTCCCATTCCAAAGAGAGGTGACCCAACAGAGTGTGGAAATTATAAATAACATTACTGATATCACACACTAGGAAAATCCTACTGAAGATCATCTAGAAGCAACTGGAACAGTACATTGACAGAGAACTACCAGAAATACAAGCTAGATTTAGAAATGATTGTGGTACTAGAGACATTATTGCCAATGTCAGATGGGTCTTGGCAGAAAGCAAAGAGTACCGAAAGAATGTCTGTGTTTCATTGACTATGCAGAGGCATTTTTGACTGTGTGGATCACAACAAATTGTGGCTAACCAGGAGGAAAATGGAAATCCAGAACACTGACTTTTCTTATGTGAAGCCGATACTTAAGCAAGGAAACAGTCCTCAGAACAGAGCAGGAAAAAACTGCATGGTTCAAAATCAGGAAAGGAGTGCATCACGGATGCCTCCTGTCTCCATACCCTTTTAATCTGTATGCAGAACAGAGCATTCCAGAAGCAGGGCTTTATGAAGAGGAATGTGGCTTCAGGATTGGAGGAAGCCTCATCAACAACCTATGTTATGCAGATGACACAATCTTATTTGCTAAAACTGAAGAAGACTTGAAGCTGCTGAAGTTCAAGGACTGTAGACTTCAATATGGATTGAAGTGTAACATCAAGGAGACAAAGATTCTCACCACTGGGCAAATTGGCAGCATCAGTATGGATCGTGAAGAGATTGAGATTCCACGGTCAACACTCTTGGAAACAGCAGCCAGGAAATCAGGAGATGAATTGCATTGGGAAAGTCAGCTATGTGAAACCTCTCAAGAGTACTGAAGAGCAACAACGTCAGGCTGGAGACTAAGGTCTGCCTGATCCAGGCTAGAGTCTTCACAATTATGTGCTATGCATCAGAGAGTTGGACAGTGACTAGGGATGAAAGAGAATTGATGCCTTTGAGCTGTGATGCTAGAGAAAAGTGTTGAATGTACCTTGGACTGCGAGGAGAACAAACAGGTTTGTCCCTTGGAGTCAAGGATTTTGAAGCTTTGTCTGACATACTTTGGGCATGTTGCAAAGAGAGACTGGTCCTTGGAGAGAGCCATCATGTTTGGGAGAGTGGAGGGACGGCGCAGGAGAGGAAGACCCTCGTTGAGATGGATCAATTCTGTGATTGGGGTGGTGGGAATGAGTGCTTGAGACGGCGATGTTGGTACAGGATAGAATGGCGTTCAGGCCACTTGTACATAGGGTCGCTGCGTTGCAGTCAACTTGATGGCACATAACAACAGCATATGTATAGTATTTTGTACAAAATAGGAAGTCTACATTTGTATTACTTAATACCAGTTTTAAAAGATAGAATTGTACGTATAATATTAAAAGGAAGCCATACTTCAGCCACAAAAAGACAGTATGCATTGGGATGTTACTGATAAGCAGGTATGTTTTGGAAAATGTAAGGATGGGATGCCATATGCAGAACTTTATGAAAAGAAACAGCCCTCAGATTCACTTGTTATTTTCACTATTGTACTTCTAAAATTAATGTTCTACAATGAGCAAACTATTTATAGAATGACACAAGTGGAATTATTATGTGCTTACACGTTAGAACTGTCTTCCATGTGACTGTGTTTGCTTCCCAGGTTACCTGTGACAACTGATAAGGATTGAGCTCTGAAAGGAGTCATACTGCCAACCTAAAAGCATGTGATTCAAATCTCCCAGCTACTCTAAGACAGAAAGATAGACAGTGCCCTCTAATGCAATTTACTGTCTTTGAAAACCCACTGGTAAGTCAGCTATAAGTCGGTTACAACTCTATATAACAGTATAACAATCCAGTTAGCTAGGGAGATAGCTCTAAATATTAATTGCTAAAAATAAAAATTATAATACAAATAAAATGTTATAGTAGAAATTTGAAACCCACATCAAAAAAACAAAGAATTTTGCTTCAGGTAGGAATGTGGAGTGGTAGTCATCTAATGAGTCTGAAGTTGGATAAAATTTGAGCCAAGCTTCTATCTCAAAATATCAGTATACCATCTTTTTCTTTTTCAGCTACTATTATTTTTTAAATTTGGAACAAGTAAGCAAAGGTTTTTCATATATTTTCTTTGTCATTTTCCCCCCCAGTTTTTGTCCATGAGAACATATGAAAAAGATGGCTAATATTAACTTCAAAGAAGTAACCTTAATCGTAGGGATAGTGACTGCCTGCTATTGGAACAGCCTCTTTTGTGGTTTTGTTTTTGATGATGTTTCTGCAATACTAGATAATAAAGACTTACATCCAACTACACCTTTAAAAACATTATTTCAGAATGACTTCTGGGGAACACCTATGTCTGAGGTAAGTAATTATAACGCAAATTTTAAAATTATTTGTTGCTCTCTAATCCTCAATTCTTTATTTTCATTGCCATTATAATAATTATGAGGTTCCCTCCCCCTGAATTACATGAGACATATTTTAATAAATTGAACAGGAAGTTTCAGATAAGATTTTCTTCTTGAAAATGTCCTTAATTCTTTCCTTGGTTATGTAGTTAGGCTTGAGTCGTTTACAAAATAACCGTGTGTGTGTGTGTGTGTGTGTGAAAATCAAGCATGTAGAAAGAGCAAGAGTTGTATCATAAAGCTGCTTTTTCTTAATTCATTTTATTCCTGTTTTGTGAGTGAGGTAAAAAAAATAGGACTATTGTGATATATTTAACCATTTTAAAAGATTATAAGTTAAATAAAAAGTATTTTTAAAAGATAAAATGTAGTATGTGTAACAAATTCAAAAGTCTTATACTAAATATTTGAAGTGTCTGTGTCATATCTCTTACCTGAAAGTTATTTTAGTTACATATTGAGAACCTGAAAGAATCATTCATTTTTACGAAAGTAATTTTTCTCTGCTAATAATTTATTTTTTAAGTTCAATTCTAAACTATTTGGACTTACATGGATTATATGGATTGGGGTCTAATTTTTAATTCTGACGTATACTGTTTCTAGTTGTTATTAGATGTCATCAAGTCATAAGGTCTAGTCATAGCAACACCATAAACAACAGATTGAAAATTTGCCCTATCCTTTGTCTTCCTCACAATCTCTCTGTATTACATGAACCATATGTAGTTATTTTTGTCTTTAGCTGCCATTGAATCAAGTATGACTCAAAGCAGCCCTGTGAACAAAGATTTGAACCCTGTCCTATCTTCTGCCATTCTCACAATTACTGATACGCTTTATGCCCTATTGCTCTAGTCATTGGTCAGTCTACCTGGTTGAGGGTCTTCCTTTACTTTCGCAAGCCTGATGTTTTCTAATGAATAGTTTCACCTAGCCGTATATTAGCTGTGTGAATTGCTGAGAACACAATTTTTAGATGGCATGTCATTTTCTTGTCTGTGAAATGAGATTAATACCTTGAGCCTAAACAAGTGAAATAATGTGCCGGTCTGTAGGAGGTGGCACATGTTGTTAGTCACCATCAAGTTAGACTCTCCCTCCTCATGAAATCTTCATGCACAATGTAACAAAGCACTGCCTGATTCTGATCCATCCTCATGATTGGTTGCAGATCAGACTTTTGTTATTCATAACATCTCATTGAATAATTTTTGTAAGTAGACCAATAAGCCTTCCTTGCTAATTCTTATTACCTGAAAGATTTATTTCCACCAGTATCGTTCATCATAGTAGCAGGCAAGCCTCCACTGTCAGCCAGGTGATGGCATGCAAGTAAAGTGTAGAAGAAGAGATTGATCAGTTTTGCTATTCTGTCAGACTTAAATTGACCTGATTTGGAGCTGAAAAAAATGGCTATTATGCTCATCAGTGAGATGATATTAAGAAGAACTAAGAAGTGCAACATATCCCTTGGACCTAAAAATCTTTGTGTGAACCAGAGAGGGAGAACTGTGGTAGCACCAGAAGAGGTGGAAGAAAGCCAGTCTATTGTGGGTCAGAATTGTGGACACTGGTCCCATGGAGCAAGAATGCAGACAGAGTGGGTACTTTGGGGCATTTACTCAGGGAGCTAGGTCTACTGACTCATGGAAATAGAGCTGAGCCCTTTGAGCCTAAGTGTGAAAGTGACACATAGTTAGAATTAAGAGACACAAGTGTAACACGCACTTGTCTGAACAGAGTAGAGGACAAGGCAATGGGTTCAAAAATCAAAGGGAGGCCTACATGTGACCACAGCTGAAAAGAGGATGTCTGGATTGAATTATACAACTGAATGGTCCCAAATATGAATGGTAACTTAGCACTTTGCTGATAAAACCTATAATTGTGGGTACTGTGAGTTCACAGTGACCATTACAATGAATTATCTAACCCAGTAGAGAAATAGAACAGCAGTTATTGCAGTGTGTTGCCATTCTCGGCATGACTGAGGACAAGGCCCTGCTGAGGGGAAAAAAAATGGAGAGAGCAAGGCACAGGGGGCTCAGGCTTAGACCCAAAGCAAAAAGGTTTTATTCTTCTTCAGCATATATAGAAAGAAACATTCCATTACTCTCAGAATAACTAGACTTCTTGCTATACAGCAAACAGTTATCTCAGAGACCATATATATATAACAATTATCTCTGGAGTTAGAAAGGAATGTGTCTTTGGTCATTAGGAACCAGGGCCTTTAATGATTTACTCAGATAGTTTTAACAAAGACAAAAAGAGTTTATCTCTGTCCTCTACAAATTCACAAGGACAATAGCTTCTAGATAGTTTGTATTTTCTGCAAACTCTCAAGGCCTTTAGTTTCTCATTAATAAAGCCTTCTAAGTTGTTCTTCTGAGTCTTATGAGATCTCATGAAACATCTCTATTTTTCTTGGGGATATGTCCATGTGCTTGCTTAGATGTTTTTCGGCTAGCTTCGCGCTAGCATTCCAATGGTACATATAAACTTACAAGCACACAATTACTCAAAATGCAGTGACTTTCAGAAAGTCTCACAGCAGTGTTTACTATACAGTGTGGAATGTGGGAACATGTTTGACCCTATAGGAATAAGTTTTGTGATGTTGATAATTCTTCCTTCCTTTAAAGTTAATGGCAGTCAGACACTATTGCTCCCAGAACTGCCATCCTGTGTTTACAAAGACTAAGCCCATTAGTGGTGGATCTAACAACTCTTGCAGTAGAAAACTTGTCAACTTTTACTCCAGGGGATGCTGTTGTTAAGTACCATTGACTCAACTATAGCTCATGGAGACCTTGTGAATGGCATATCAGAATCTTGCCCCACCCTACACCATCATCACAGACTCCTCAATGCTGAAGTTCATTGTGGCAGTCACTGTGTCAGTATACCTTATTCCTTTCTGTAAGGGTTAGAGATAGAAGGAAAGAAGGAAGACTCTTAGAATTCTCTAGGGAGGAAATAGAACAAAAATACTGAATTTGGATTATGCCAAGAAAAGAGAAAGACCATACCTGGAACATCTGGGAAGTCAGCAGAAGGAACACTAGAAGCAAGGCTGACTTAGTATGAGAAGATGGAGCCTGGCCTCCTATGTTATCTTAGAACTGACACCCTGAATTCAGACTTTTCACCTCCTAAACTGAAAGAAATAACTTTCTATTTGTTCACTCATTTGAGATATATCTATTTTGTTGTTGTTGTTGTTGTTGTTGTTGTTGTTATGTGCTTCAAGCCACTTGTGACTTGTGGAGACCTTAATATGTACAAGAGCACTGAAGCTCGCACTGTCCTGAGCCAGTCTCACTGTCTCTAACATACCTATCCCCATTATCCCAATTACCATATCATTCCATCTCATCCAGGGTCTCCCTCTCCTGTGCTGTTCCTCCACCCTTCCAAGGATAATGTCCTTCTCTAAGAACTGGTCCTTCCTGGCCACATGCCCAAAGTATGTGAGACAGAGCTTCAAAATCCTAGTCCTCAAAAGAGAAATTTGGTTTTACCCTCTCCAAGACAGACCTATTTGTCTTCTTGGTGATCCATGATATGTTTAAGTCTTCTCCAGTAACACAGCTCGAAGGCATCGATTATACAGTACTATATGACTAAGGCACCATACGACTTGTATTGGTTTAATGCAGTCTCCTAAAAACAAGAAAGATAAAGCCTTTATATAGAAAATCCTGAAAAATCCACAAAAAACCCCCCATATTTTTTATTGTTATGTACCAGAGGAATGTCTATCTGTGTTTCATTGACTATGCAAAGGCATTTGACTGTGTAGATCATAACAAACGATGGTTGACTTTGAGAAGAATGGGAATCCCAGAACACTTGATCGTTCTAATGCGAAACTTATACTTGGACCAGGAGGCAGTCGTCAGAACAGAGCAAGGGACCACTGCATGGTCCAAAATTGAAGGACATAGGCCAGGGATGCATCCTTTCTCCATACCTTTTCAACCTGTATGCAGAACAGATTATCCGGGAGGCTGGGCTCTATGAGGAGAAATGTGAGGTCAAGATTGGTGGACGATTTATCTACAATCTGCGTAATGCGGATGACACAACCCTGCTTGCTGAAACTGAAGAGGACCTGAAGCGCCTGCTGCAGAGTGTCAAGGACTGCAGCCTACAATATGGATTGAGGCTCAATGTCAAGAAGACAAAGATTCTCACCACTGGACCAATCGGCAGCATCAGGATGGATGGTAAAGAGATTGAGATTGTACACAGCTTTAGTTTGCTTGGCTCCACAGTCAACAGTCTTGGCACCAGCAGCCAGGAAATTAAAAGGTGCATTGCCATGGGAAAGTCTGCTGTTAGGGACCTCTCCAAAGTGCTGAAGAGCAATGGTGTCTCTCTGGAGACTAAGGTGCATCTGATACAGGCTATGATCTTCTCAATCACTTGTTATGCATCAGAGAGTTGGACAATGACCAAAGAGGATAGAAGGAGAATTGATGCCTTTGAGCTGTGGTGCTGGAGAAGAGTATTGAGAATACCATGGACTGCTAGGAAAACAAACAGATTTGTCCTGGAAAGGGTTAAACCAGGTGGCTCCTTGGAGGCAAGGATTCTGAGGCTCCGTCTAACATATTTTGGACATGTTGTGAGGAGAGACCGGTCCTTAGAGAGGGACATCATGCTTGGGAGGGTGGAGGGACAGCGCAGGAGAGGAAGGCCCTCTATGAGGTGGATTGATTCAGTGACTGGGATAATTGGGATGGGAGTGTCAGAGACAGTGTGATTGGCACAGGACAGAGCGGAGTTTGGGCTGTTGTACATAGGGTCGCTATGAGTCGCAAGACACTCGACAGCACATAACAACAACTATCAAGTCAGAATTGACTCGTAGCTGACCCTCAGGCAAGCTGCCAGAGATTCTAAGTTGCCCAGGAAGAGATTGCTCAATTTTCTTCCACAGAGCAAAAGTGGGCTCAGAGCAGCTAGTGGATTCGAGTCACCTGCCTTTGGATTGGCAACACAAGTAGAATTGCAGAGTATAATATTAACAAAGAAAAGTCAATTGAGTTTTCATATATGGGAATATAGGAGAATTCCAGCAATGGAAAAGAAATGAAATTAATTCTAAAAATAAAGGAAAATGCCTAGAAATTATAAGCTTAACCAAGAAGCTGAAGATGAAAATGTGCTAAATATATGTGAAAGAAATTAAAATCTCCATAGAAATAAGTTAGTTTTTGTGGTAACCAGGAAAACTGAGCATTGTTAAGATGTAAATTCTACCCAAAGTAATCTAGAGATTTATGCACTGTCTGTCAGAATTGCAGTAGCCCATTCTTGGGTTGTTGTTTGTTTTTTTTTAAAAGATCTTCAAATTTGTGATGAAATATAAGGGGTACTAGTAGCCAAAACAATCTTTAAAAAAACAAAAAACAACACATAACTTCTTATTTAACTGAACAGATAGTATCAAAATTGTGTCACTTACATAAGGATAAACAGATAAGTGGAACAAAATTAAAAGTTCATTCAGAATTAATATATGTAAAATCTAATCAGTTTTGATAAAAGCAACAAGTCCATTCAATGAGGGAAAGAATAGTCAACAAGTAGTGGTGGGACAGCTTGATTTTCACAACAGGAAAATACAGTTGTTTCCTCAGAAAGTTAAATATGCAGTATCAGGGTGACAGAGCTTTCTGTTTCTAGATTTAGATCCAAGACTAAAACTATTGGAAACAACAAAATCAGCAGATACATGTTTGCTTGTATTCAGTAGAGCATTATTCACAGCAGCCAGAAGATGGATGCAACCTAAAAAATGGATAAATTGTATTTGTGTAAATTAAATATTTGAATTCACCAGCTGCTCTGTGGGAGAAGGAGGGGCAGTCTCCCCCCCCCATACGAACTCTCTGAAAACCTGCCAGAGGGTCAGCTGTGTGTCTGTCCTGACTCTACAGTACACAACAACAACAGCAAAATGAAATATTTAGTCAAAAAGGAATAAAGTTCTGGTACCTGACATGATATAGACAGACCTGTAAGACATTAATTGAAATAAAACAGATTTAAAGGAACAAATGTTACATGACTTGAATAGGTGAGTTCATGGAAATAGAAAAGAGCTTAGAAACTTTGATGAAAAGTTACAGAGAGAGATGATAAAAATTTTAAGATGGAGATAGTGGTATACTGTATACATAAAAACGGTTTAAATGGCAAATTTTAAGAAGTATTGAACCCTAGAAAAGCCAAAATGGTAGGTGCTCAAAATGAGCTGAAGTTTGAAGAGCACACAGCGAAGGAAAGACCATTCCAAGTAGACAACATTCCAGGATATAAGCAACCAGGACAAATGACAACACTGACATAATCTACAAGTGGGGAATGTTTGTTTTGTGAGGCTTGCAGTTGCTGTTGGGGAGGAAATACTTGTCCCCACCTATATGCCAGAGAGTTAGAGCAAAATCTAGTATGCAGTAGGAGAGCAAGGAAATCTAGCATGGATGCCCTTATATAAACCTACAAATTGTATAATCAGGAAAGGTGTAGTCAGTGATGCCTCCTATCTCCATACCTTTTTGATCTATATATGGAACAGATCATCCCATCTGGGAGGCTGGGCTCTATGAGGAATAATGTGGCATCAGGATTGGAGGAAGACTAATCAACCACCTGTGTTATGCAGATGGCACAACCTTGCTTACCAAAACTGAGAAGGGCCCGAAACATTTGCTTTAGAAGGTCAGGTACTATATAGCCTTCAATATGGATTGATGCTCAACATCAAGATGACAAAGATTCTCATTATTGGGTTGATGGGTAGCATCACAATAGATGGTGAAGAGATTGAGATTGTTAACAGCTTCAGCTTGCTTGGCTCCACAATCAACATTTTTGGTACCAACAGCCAGGAAAAAAAAAGATGAATTACATGGGAAAATCAGCTGTTCGGGACCTCTCCAGGGTGCTGAAGAACAACAATGTCAGTCTAAATTCTAAGCTGCATCTGATCCAGGTCATGGTTTTCACAATTATTTGCTATGCATCAGGAAGCTGGACTATGATTAAGGACGATAGAAGAAGAATTGATGTCTTTCAGTTATGCTGGAGAAGAGTATTACTATATCATGGACTATTAGGAGAACAAACAGGTTCGTCCTAGAGAGGGTGAAACTAGGATGGTCTTTGAAGACAAGAATTTTGAAGCTCTGTCATGTACTTTGGGCATGTTGCAGGGAGGGACCAGTCCTTGGAGAGGGACATCATGCTTGGAAGGGTCAAGGGACAACACAAGAGAGGAAGACCCTGGGTGAGATGGATTGATTCAGTGACTGGGATAATGTGGGTAGGTGTGGCAGAGTCAATAAAGTTGGCTCAAGATAGAGCAGGGTTCAGAGCTGTTGTACATAGGGTCACATGAGTCATGAGCATTAACAGTATTATATATACAACTCTGATTTTCATTCTTTAATTTGGTTCTGCTTTATGATAAAATATTATTTTGACTAAATGTAATTTGAAATTTATGAGGAAATGCAATACTTCACATATAATTTTATTAACAACAAAATATACCAAGCAGATTTTTATTTTATGTAACTTTCAGGAATTTTTAATTTAATATGTTCCCTTTTACACATTTTAGTGGTCTATTTTCATACAAGTTGTACTGATGCCTCAGAAGAATGACCAGACAATCTAATTCTGAAAAATCAGCCATGATGATGTCCCCACAGAGCAAAGTTCTACACTAATCAGAGTTGATTTGACAACAACTGATTTTGGTTTTGAATCATTTTTTGAACTGAATTCATAAGCATTGTGTTTTTGTATTTTCTTTTGAACATCTGGTCAATAAAACTCTTGTATAATATATTGGTAATAATAAACAATGAAAAGAATATTGTACTTCAATGAGATTAGTGCCACCAAAGTCCTACTTATTTTAAAAAACAAAGATCTATTTCTGTGAAGAGGTTTTAATATTTATATCTTCCTTCTGTGTTGTTGATTCTCTGACCACTGTATTTTATTATCTGGAAGGAAATATCCTTGCTTTTAGACTAAGGAAATAAGAAAGCATATATAAAAAAATTCTGTTTGTATTACTCTGGGGTATTTTATTGTTCTATTGTTATTTCTCATCCAGATGAGAAATTATACCTTCCACAAGAAAAGCAGTGACTGATTTATATATCCTAAAAAACTAAGGTACCAAAATAATCAATTCTTTCTTCCTCCTGTAGGAAAGAAGCCACAAGTCTTACCGTCCTTTAACAGTGTTGACATTTCGCTTGAATTACATGTTTAGTGAACTGAAGCCAATCTCGTATCATTTCCTAAATCTGATTTTTCATGCTGTGGTTAGTGTGATATTTCTTAAAGTCTGCAAGCTTTTTCTGGACAGCAAGAGTAGTATGATTGCTGCTTTACTTTTTGCCGTGCATCCGGTACACACAGAAGCAGTAAGTAAAATTAAATCTTTGGGGCATGTTGCAAGGAGGTCCTTGAAGAGGGACATCCTGTTTGAGAGAGTGGAGAGACAGCACAGGAGAGGAAGAGAAGAATCGATTCAGTGATTGGGGTGATGGGAGTAGGTGTGTTGGAGACAATGAGTTTGGCACAGGATAGAGCAGGGTTGTACATAGGGTCGTTATGAGTCTCCAGCGACTCGAGGGCACATAACAACACAACAGCACAACATCATTATTTTACGAAAGGAAACCTAGTTGGCAAAGCACAAGGCTGGTCACTGAAACCTGCCAGCCTCTCCACAGCTGAAAGATATAGCATCTCTAAATTTTAGTCAACTACAATAAAAATGAATGTAGGTATTATCTTTCACTAGAGACTAAGGTGCCTTTGATACAGGCCATGGTCTTCGCAATCACTTGTTCTGCATCAGAGAGTTGGACAATGACCAAGGAGGATAGAAGGAGAATTGATGCCTTTGAGCTGTGGTGCTGGAGAAGAGTATTGAGAACACCATGGACTGCTAGGAAAACAAACAGATTTGTCCTGGAGAGGGTTAAACCGGGTGGCTCCTTGGAGGCAAGGATTCTGAGGCTCCGTCTAACATACTTTGGACATGTTGTGAGGAGAGACTGGTCCTTAGAGAGGGACATCATGCTGGGGAGGGTGGAGGGTGAAGTGACTGGGATAATTGGGATGGGAGTGTCAGAGACAGTGCGATTGACCTAGGACAGAGCAGAGTTTAGGGCTGTTGTACATAGGGTCGCTGTGAGTCGCAAGCGACTTGACAACACATAACAACAACAACAGTGATCTTCATGAATCTTTCCAATGTTTATGTTTTAGGGGTCATAAAAAGAGGCAGATTTGAGTTGTTGTTTAATGCCGTCGAGTCGTAGACGACTCGTAGCGACCCTGTGAACGAACAGCCTGAGCACTGTTCGTACATAGAGTTTCCAGAAGCAAGCCATTTTGGAAGTGGATGCCGCTCCTGCTTCCAGGCTTGATTTAGTCGGGAAGCTCCAGCCAACACTGTCCACCAAGGGTGCCCATTACCACGATTGGCACATCACTGTCACAGGCTTCAGCATCACAGCAACCACGAGTTACCTCTGTACAGCAATGCACAGACCAGTGCTATACCACCTAGAAGAATGTTTGACAGGAAGACAATTTGAACCTGGTTGAGGGCCACAGATGACAATCACCCACCTTCGGCTTGGTTGCACAGCTTCCTTCCACTAGGCCAACGTAGCTCTCTCTTGGTCGTCGCCATTGTTATTGTTGTTAATGCCGTCGAGTCATAGACGACTCATAGCGACCCTATGAACGAACAGCCTGAGCACTGTTCGTACATAGAGTTTCCAGAGGCAAGCCATTTGAGTAAGGAAAGAAATATATCAAACTTGAGGAGACATCCTAAAAAATTATATTACTATTTTAATATTGTGCAGTGCTCTGTATTTCCGAACTATGACCTGGTTATACTATTTCCAATATGTTAATCTGCCCCTAACAAGCAGTTTGTGATAAAACAATTATTTTTTTTTATAACCTTGAAACTCCAGATTATGTCCCAGCAAGAACAAAGAACATTTGTGTTCTTCAGTTTCCGTTGTACAAACACATTAGTAAGATAGTTATTATGTTTAAACTCTAGGGAAGTATTGTGCTGCCCTCTTCCACTGCCTTGTGCCTTTTTGTCTTTGCTGATCAGGTGCTGTACTCTGTGTTTGCAAAAATGGTAGCTTATTTTGAAACTTAAAAGTTCCATATATTCTTAAGCAAAAATTTTGAAGCTTTCATAACCAAATTTATCGAATTTATAAAAATTTCAGAAACTGAGTTTCAGCCTTTTATTTTACAGAAGAGAATATTGAGGCTCAGGAAGGTGAGTTAGTTTGACCAAGCCAACAGAGCACAATTATAAATGACCTCTTTGGATTTTAGTTAAGAGTGCTACATTGAATGTTACACTGAAAAATGTTTTTCTTTTTTTCAATATGACTTTAATGCAAGTATTTGAAGTCTTTAATTAGTAGAATGAGTTTAATTTCTTATTACACACACAGCTTTCAAGTTTTTACTGTAATGTCACCATTTAAAAAATGTTATAATTAAGATATTATTTACACTGCATCTTCAATAGACTGGTTTCTAGTGATAGAAATACAGTTGTTTTCTAATTAAATTTGCACTTCCTAAACAACATGCTTCCAGAAACTTTATGAACTTTGATAAATGTCGATAGTTGTAGAGGGGCTTCAGGCCTTTTGTTCATAGGGTTGCTATGAGTCGTGCTCGACTTGAAGGCATTCAACAATGACAACAACAATTTGGTTTATATATTTTAAGTTAATCAGCTTTCAAACTTTGGTTTGCAATTTTTTAAGAAGTAAAATTCTTTACATTTTAAGTAAAATTTTAACGTTTTCTTTTTATTTCTTTCTAAGACTTAGAAAGCTAGGTAAAAGATAAACAGAGCCTTTGTACTTTATACAATATAATGTGAGTTTGTAGGTACTATAATTCAAAATAAGTTTGATAATAAAAGAACCTTAAAATGATTAGTCTGTTTCATCCATTGATGATACACAATTTCACCACAAGGGGGCACTCAAAGAACGTCTGAAAAATAAAGTCATTTGAAAAATTATGATTTGAAGACTGTTTGAAGGCTGTTGGTATTAACCTTTTCAGAATACTGTTTGTTAATTTGGAACTTACTTTTCTTTTTCCCTTCCCAGGTAACAGGTGTTGTAGGAAGAGCAGAACTTTTGTCATCGATCTTTTTCCTAGCTGCATTTTTATCATATACTAAATCAAAAGGACCAGATAATTCCATAGGTAAATGTCTGACATGTAATTTATTTACTTGATGTGGTAATTTATATTTATTCCATGTGCTTCCCTAACACATTATGCCACACTTGAGGTTTCACTTTGTAGTTGTCCTTTTTTACCATACATAATAGTATGAAGTACATTGCATATTTTAAAAATTAAGTATGGTTTCAGTTTTGTTATAAGATAATAAATTCTGTTTAATCTAGTTTTAAAAACAAAGTTGCCCTAGAATTTGATTTTTTTACATTTTATTTCTAGTTATGTCTGCTGTTTATCTTCAAGAGACACCTATCAATTCATTTGCCTTTCTGTAGGCAAATGTCTGGTAGACTGAACTGCTTGTTGTTGTTGTTGTTGTTAAGTGCCGTCGGGTTGCAGGCGACTCACATAAACTGCTTAGGCAAGTTTATAAGCTTGTGAAAGTATAATTTTTATTGTGTATGGATCATAGTTCTTAGACATTCTAATGGAATAGTGAATTTGACTGGTAACCCAAAGGTCACCAGTTCAAATCTGTCAGCTATTCTGGAAGAGAAAGATGAATCAGTCAACTTTTGTGAAGATTCATAGCATTGTAAACCCTCTGGAAAATTCAGCTCTGCCCTCCAGGGTTACTGTGAGTTGGTATCAACTTGATTGATGGCAGTAGGTTTGAGATCATGTTTACTCAGTGCCATTGAATCCAAACTGAAGCATGAATCCTCCTTCCTTGGGATTCCAGGGCTGTAAATTACATCAGAGAAGCCACTGGTATATTAAAAGCCTTTGGGTTAGCATCACAATATCCTGTGGGCTACTCCACAAACACTTTCTTTAGAATTGTTACCTTTTTTGTTGTTGTTTACCATAAAGTGGGAACTGACCCTCCAGTGAGTTTTCAGAAGCAGCAAATCTTATGGGAGAGATTGCCCATCCCTGTGGTGCAGCCTCTGCATTGACAGCACACTCCTTACCACTAGATCAGATATCTATTGAACCCTACCCTGTGTCCTACTCAGAAAAGTGCTTCGACTACACAGCTTACTAACAACACTTAGTGTTGTCACAGGGAACTCTTGGGGCCTACTGGGTAAGAAGTTGTTCTGCCAACCCAGAAGTAGGCTATTCAAATCTTCCAGTTACTCCATAGGAACAAAGTTGAGTTGTCTCCTCCTGAATAATCTACAGCTTCGGAAAACTTACAGGGTCAGCTGTGAGTCAGTTCTGACTCAATAGCATGTAAAAATACACAAAGCGTTGTTGTGGGACTTAGTGAGGTACGGGCTACTCCTCCCTTCCCCAAAACAAAGCACATAGACATCAGTTTTGAAAAGGGTTTCTCATAATGTCTTCAACTTATGTTGATTTAAAGATCAATTCTTATTAATATTTTAAATTATTCTGTCAGCATCAAACAGTGTAATGTATTCCAGATTTTTAATAGAAATAGGTTTGCCTCTTACTGTTGTTGGTAGGTGTCATTGAGTCCATTATGACTTCTAATGACCTCATGAACAAAAGACCTGACTTTTCTTCTATTATGTGCATTCTCATGATCTCTGATATGTTTGAACCAATTGTTATAGTTTCTCTGACTCTCTAATTTTAAGCCAAGCAGTGTTTTCTTTGGGCATGTTGCAAGGAGGGACTGGTCCTTGGAAAAGGACATCATGTTTGGCAGAGTGGAGGGGCAGTGAAGGAGAGGAAGACCTTCGATGAGATGGATCAATTCTGTGACTGGAGTGGTGGGAATGAGTGCATTTGAGATGGCTAGGTTGGCACAGGATAGAACAGCGTTTAGAGCTCTTGTACGTAGGGTCGCTATGAGTCGCAAGTGACTCGATGGCACATAACAACAACAACAAGTGTTTTCTTGCCCTGTTCTGACTACTCCTGGTCCAAGTATAGGTTTCGCATAAACATTATCAAGTGGTCTGGGATTCCCATTCTTCTCAGAGTTAGCCACTAACTATTGGTTATTTCTACAGTTGGTGAAATATCTTTCATCTGCTCTTTTCCATAAAAAGCTTGTCTGTCAGATACTGTCTAAATCTGAGCATTACGATTAAGACAGACAGACTAGGAAGAAGGATTGGCCATCCACTTCCGAAATAGCAGGCCTTTGAAAACACTGTATACAATAGAACACACATAGACTAACAGGGCAACTGTAGGTGGAGACCTCAATATGGAAAGACAAAGGAGAAGGAACAGTTGTAAGCAGACGCTAGTGATTGGAACAGGGAATATGAGAACTACGAGTGTAGGAAAATTAGATATTGTTAAGGAAGAAATGGAGTGCATAAATATTGACTTACTAGGTATTGACGAGATGAGATGGATTGGCATGGGGCATTTTGAGTCAGACGATCGGATGATCTACAGTGCGGAAAAATGGGGTTGGTGAGGAAAAATGGGGTTCCTTTCCATAGTTAAGGAAGTCATTTCTAGGTCCGTCTTGAAATACAATATTGTTAGTGACAGGATAATATCCATACACATACAAGGAAGTCCAATAAATACCACTGTCATTCAGTTATATGCACCAACAACCGAAGATAAGAAAATAGAAGATTTCTACCAACCTTTACAGTTAGATCGATAGAACCTGCAGTCAAGATGCATTAATAATAATGGCTGACTGGAATGCAAAAGTTGGGAGCAGAGGAGGAGGACCAGGAGTTGGAAAACATGGACTTGGTGACAAATTAAGCTGGAGACAGAATTTTGTAAATCAGTGATTTTTCATTGCAGGTATATTTTATAAGAAATGTAAATGCAGACTGTACACATGGTTTCCCTCTTGATGGTATGTATAGGGTTTACATGAGTAGGAAGTAATGTAAAGATCATGGCTTGGATCCAGTGTTAAACTGACATTCCTGTTCTTTAACATTTTGGAGAGATGTCTTGGATAGCAGATTTGCCCAGTGCAGTATGTCTCCTATCTCCTGATTGCTTGTACCAAGTGTGTTGATGGTGGATCCAAGTAAGTTGAAGTCATTGACAATTTCAGTCCTTTTTGCATCTATCATGATTGCCGCCTGTTGACTCAATGATGAGGACTTTTGTTTCTTGATGTTAAGTAAGATGCAGTCTATATTGAAAGCTGTAGTTTTTTATCTTCTGCAGTCATTGTTTCAAGTTCTCTTTGTCTCCTATATCTATTATATAGCCCTGGCATCATGGTGATGGTGCCTTGCATGTTGGGCTGCTAACTAGAAGGTTAATGGTTTGAATTCACCAGCCTTTTTTTTTGTATTTTTTTATTATTATTAATATTAATAAAAATGTATAGAGACTTTGGATTTCCATGCATTCATTGTTGCACTTTCCTCTCTGCACCCCCACCCCCCAGTATGCTCTTCTCTTTGAAAAGTTAAGGAAAAATTCTTTGATTGTTTTACAATCCCTCTCCCCCAGGTCTACTCCACTATGCAGCCTTCGTTCTGGACTCCTGTCATGACAATAATACCTAATCACATATCCCTCCCTTTTAAACAGTTTTCTCCCTCATCTCTTTCAATGCAGTATACATTATTTATCCCATCTTTATCAGTCTCCCCCCAACCCCAATGTCAATCCTGCTTTACAACAGTGGCAGTATGCAATATTTGTCCTTTTGTGACTGAGATATATCACTCAGCATAATGTCCTCCAGGGTCACCTATTTTGAATAATATTGCATGAGTTCCTTGTTTTTCAATGCAGCGTAGTATTCCATTTTGTGAATATACCACAGCTTCTTTATCCATTCATTTGTTGATGGGCACTTAGGTTGTTTCCAACTCCTTGCAGTTGTGAACAAAGCCGTGATAAACATGGGTGTGCATAGCCATTTTTTTGAGAGACAGATGAAACAGTTCCCTCTTAGAAAAATTTACAATTAAGACACCCCAAGGAGGATTTTCATAAGTTGAATCAGTTCCAACAGCAATGACTTTGGTTTTGCCTTGTAATAGTTTAGTGATAAGACATTGTAGTAATTAAGACCATAGAATGTAGAGTCTGTTTCAGATTTCATTTCTACCATTTATTGCCTCTACAACCTTAGCTGATTTACTTAACTTCCAAGCACTTTTCCCCTCTGATCTATAAAAGGTAGGTAAAAAGAACAGTCTTTGTTACATTACAATGCCATTGTGAGGATTAGATGATTTATGCGCCTGACATGTAATAATAAGTAGTATTCTGTTTGCCCTCTTGTCCAAAATACATTATAAGATAGTTTATTCACTAATCTAGAATTTGCACACCAGTAACCACTGCAAAAGGAGTCTCCATGCCATAGTGCTTAACATGTCAGGCAAGTAACCAAAAGGTCAGTGCTTCAAATTTACCAGCAGCTCTATGAGAGAAAGATGAGCAGTCTCCTCCTGTGATGACTTACACTCTCAGAATCTGTAAGAAGGCTCATTATAAGTTCAGAATGTCTCAGCAGTAAGTGGGAACCACTTACAGAAAGACATGTTGGTGCCACAGTAGTTAAATACTTGACTGATAAAAGATGGACATGTACTATTAACCTACCAGGGATCCTGCAGGAGATTATTGCTGCTGGTGTTAGGAGCCATGAAATGGACAATGGTTCATACTGACCATATAAACAATGGATTTGAACCATGCCCTATCCTGTGTCATCCTCATCATCCGTAATATGTTTGAGCCCAGTAACAGTCACTGTGTTAGTACTTGTCCTTGAGAGTCTTCCTATCTCGGCATTTCCAGGCATGATTTCTTTTTCCAAGGACTGGCCAGAATACGTGAGACAAAGTTTCAGTATTGTTGCCTGTGAGGAGCACCATAGTGTACTTTTTCTAAAACATACTTTGTTATTTTGGTTAGTGAAGGAGAAGACAACTCTCAGCGAGATGGATTGGTAAAAGGACTGTGGTACTGGCTCAGGTGTGTCAAGATGACAAGGATGGTGCAGAATAGGTCAGGATTCAGATCTGTTGTTCACAGGATCACTATACACGACTCACCTGCCCCTAACAACAACAGTGGGATATTCAGTACTC